TGTATCCTCTATCCCTATATTCTCAAAATCATGTCCCTCAGCTAAAATCACTGATTTTACACTTTAATTTCCTTCTTAGATTCATCACTGTTCATATCTGTATGTTGTGATTATTTGTCTGTTGATTCTCTAATCAGAGCAAGAGCTCTCTGAAGATAGGGATCCTGTCCACTTTTGTTCACTGATAAATCCTTGGCAGTTTAGCACAGGGAATGGCACCATAGTGGATGCTACTTATGAGGTAAACTGAGGGAATCCCAGTACCTTTCTGATCCTTACCAGGATCAGAATTCCTCTACCAGACCCAGAATTCTACTACCAACACAATTTTCTAAGAAAGCACAATATCAGTATAAGGGATAGTTTATAAAATGTTTCAAAAACCAGTGTCTGGGTCCCTTTCCCTCCATTTCCATCAGATCTTTTATACCAAGAGCATAAGCTAATTTGTATTACTAGTAAATGTTAAAGGACACAAATAATTTAAAAAATGAATTTGAGCAAGACATGGGCAATATATGGTCTTTCTTTAAAGAAAAAAAGGCTCAAAAACGGTCTTTAAAAAGGTCTTTCTTAAAGACAGTATTTCTAAAAGTAAAATTGAGGACTTACGTAGCAAAACTCAGGTGTTTTTTCATTAATTTAGGTCATTTACACTATTGCACTATATTATGACAAAAGAATCTTGAGTCAGTTGGATGTATCTTTCCTTTGTATTTGCATGAATTTAAAATTTGAGTTACACACATTGAAAAGGTCAGTAGATAGCATTCTGGTATTTTATCAAAGATAATGTGGCTGTTTGTTGTGGCTCTGGTTCTAGGCAGTATGAAACTGTGGTTCCACTTGAAGATTCTATTGTGACTGAGGTTACAGGAACTCTACAAGAATGGGCCAGTCTGTGGAAACAACTCTATGTGGTAAGTATTGATAAGTAGCTTACTAGATCTTTAAAGTTCCATTAGAAAAGTGAAAAAAATTTATCTTACATATGCCAATTACAAATTTTTAGATTTCTGAATATTTGCAACTTTGTTCCTAATATTAACCGAAATATGGTACACTAAGTGTTGTTCAACCTGAAGAGAACACATTATTTGTATGCCTTCAGTTCCATAACATCAGGGGTTTTAGCTGTCTTACCCACTGCTGTAGCCCTAGAAGCTTTCATAAAACAGGTGTTTCCTGAATGAATGAACAAACTTGAGTTTCATTGTGAACCTAAAGGTGGGTAAAGGCCAAGAAGTTTTATCAACAGTTTCTTATAGCTACTAAGCTTATAGGATATGCCATATATGACATGTTTTGCTAAGTCCACAATTAATAAAAAGATTAATAAAAACCCAATCCATATCCTCTGGAAACTTGGAGAGTAGAGGGAGATAGGACACAAAAAAATCTGGCTGAAGTAAGTGACAAGGTTTGGGTTCTGTTATTTCATCAAGATGGAATAAGCACATTCTGTTATACTCCTCTTACTAATTACAACAAAATCCTGGACAAAACCCATAAATCATCTACCAGAAAACTCTGAAAGTAAAGGAAAAGAAGGTGGAGTGACTAGGGACATTTGAACTCAAGGATTGAGTGAGTTCCCTGATTGTTGTTTTTTCTTGCCTCTCATATACTTTGGCTTGGGCTTCTCTCTAGAGAAGCCCACCACCTGGAAATACTAATGGGTGCACACAAAAAGCACCAAAGAAAGCCTTTTCTTTTTAGCCAGAGGATGGCTCAGCAAGACAGAAACCTTCTTTTTCCTTCACATCGGACGGGTAATGTGCAGAGGTTGTAACAAGGTTTGAGTGAGGTACATGTCATACAACAGTGTGAACACCGTATCATCATGCTTATGAACTACAAAAGGATCAAGACAGAAACCTTTTAACCTATCCTTTATGTTCACTAGAGAACATTGCAATAAAAGCTGCACTCCCTTGTACCCTCCCAAACAGGCATTACAGTAGTGGAATTGGTGACCAGAACTCCCATCTTACATACCCACTCTTCCCCACACCTGCAGTAACAAGGTGTCCCTCTCCAGTGGAGCCTTAGACCAAACTCTGACTTCTATCCCTCCCCACTACAGTAATGAGACAGTGCCTCTCTTCAGTGGGTCCCTGCAGGAGGATTCTGACTGCAACTTCACCAGCACTTGCAAAGTGGCACCTTCCCCAGCAGAGCCTGTGGGTGGGACTCTGGATTTCACAACTACCCAGTGTTAACAAGGTGATACCCTTATTTTGCAGAGTTCTGTGGGCAAAACTCTGACTTCCTCCTGTGCTCTGAAGTAAGGAAGAAGCATCCCTCCACAGAGGAGCCTGTGGTTAGAACTCTTGATTTCCACTTCCCTTGTAATAATAAGTGGGTCCCTCTGCAGCTGAGCCCGTAGGCAGGACTGACTCTCACCCTCTCCCCATTAATGAGACAGTGCCTCTCTCTCTAGTACACGATGTGAACAGTACCCTGTTTTTCATCCTTGCCCTGCTGAAATGAGGCAGTGCTTCTCCCCACCCAAATCCATGCTGAGTATAAGTGAAGTGGAGTTCTGCTATCTAGGTAACACACTAATGGGGGGAAACCATAAGAGCACTGGAAAGACTTTATATACTAAATTGACATTTAAATCACAGCCCAGAAAAGTAAGCCTAGAATTGCCTTCTGAACTTAAGCAGATTGACCACCTGCTAAAATAGAAGATTTAAATAGGAATCAGAATGTCATAGGATAATACTTAAAATGTCCAGTATACAGACCAAATTTACTTCACAAATGAAAAATCAGGAAAATCTCAACTCTAATAAGATAAGATAATCAATAGATGCCAACTTTGAAATGACACAGATGTTGGAACCATCAGCAAGGATCTTAAAGCTGTTTTTGTAAAATTGTTCCACCAAGCAATTAGAGACACTCTTGAAACAAATGAAAACATAGGAAACTGCAGCAATAGAAGTAGAAAACATAAATAATCAAATGAAAATTTTAGAACTGAAAAATACAGTAACCAAAATTTAAAAATTACTGGGTAGGCTCAATAGCAGAATGGAAAGAACAGAGGAAGGAATTAGTGAACTTAAAGATGGATCAATAGAAATTATCCAATCTGAATAATGGAGTGAAACTAAATGGAAAAGTAAGCTTAGCCTCAGAGACCTGTGGGACAATAACAAAAGATCTAACATTTAGGCATTAGAGTACTAGATGGGAAGGACAGAATGTGGACCTAAAAAAATTTTGAAGAAATAATGGCTTAAAATTCCCAAATTTGGGGGCACCTGGGTGGCTCAGTTCATTGAGCAACTGCCTTCAGCTCAGGTCATGATCCCAGAGTCCTGAGATTGAGTCCCACATTGGGCTCCCGGCTCAGTGGGGAGCCTGCTTCTCCCTCTGATCCTCTCCCCTCTCATGCTGTTTCTCACTCTTTCTCTCTCTCTCAAATAAATAAATAAAATCTTTAAAAAAAAATTCCCCAAATTGGCGAAAGACATAAGTCTACAGACTCAAGAAGCTGAGTGAACTCCAAACAGGATAAACCTAAAGAAATCCGTGCACAAATTGTTGTTAAACTTCTGAAAATTAAAGCAAAAGAAAAAATCTTTATATGCACTGTTGTATTTGTGTATTTAAAAAATATATATGTATATTAAAATTTTTATATATTTTTAAATTCCAAATTAATTAATATACAGTGTTAGATTATTTTCAGGTGTATAAGATAGTGATGCAACAATTCTATACATTACTCAGTGCTTATCATAAGTGCATTCTTTTTTTCATGTTTTTAAAAAAATTTCTTTAAATTTTACTCAGCTAACGTACAGTGCAATATTGGTTTCTGGAGTAGAACTCATCACTTACATACAACACCTAGTGCTCATCACCACAAGTGCCCTCTTTAATACCCATCACCCATCTAGCCCATCTCCCACCCACCTCCCTCCCTTAACTCTCAGTTTGTTCTCTGTCATTAAGAGTCTCTTACGGCTCTTATTAACACACTGTGAATTGTGCAAGACTGTTGAATCACAGATCTGTACCTCTGAAACAAATAATACAATATATGTTAAAAAAAAAAAAGATAGCAGGAGGGGAAGAATGAAGGGGGGAAATTGGGGGAGAGAACCATGAGAGATGATGGACTCTGAAAAACAAACTGAGGGTTCTAGAGGGGAGCGGGGTGGGAGGATGGGTTAGCCTGGTGATGGGTATTAAAGAGGGCACATTCTGCATGGAACACTGGGTGTTATACACAAACAATGAATCATGGAACACTACATCTAAAACTAATGATGTAATCTATGATGATTAACAAAACAATAAAAAATTTAAAAAAAATTAACACACTATTAAATAATCCATGGATCTCAAGAAATAAAAAATATGTTGAATGTAAATGAAAACATAATATATTAAAATGTATGGGATGCAGGGGCGCCTGGGTGGCTCAGTTGGTTAAGTGACTGCCTTTGGCTCAGGTCATGATTCTGGAGTCCCGGGATTAAGTCCCGCATCGGGCTCCCTGCTCAGCAGGGAGTCTGCTTCTCCCTCTGACCTTCCCCCCTCCCATGTTCTCTCTCTCTCTCATTCTTGTGCTCTCAAATAAATAAATAAATAAATAAAATCTTTAAAAAAAATAAAATGTGTGGGATGCATTTAAAGCAGTGCTGAGAGGGACATTTATAACATTAAGTGCATATAATAGAAAAAAAACATGATGTCAAATCAGTAATTGCAGCTCCTACTTCAAGAATCTAAAAAAAAGAAGATAAACCCAAGTAAGCAGAATGCAGGAAAAAATAGAGCAGAAATTAATGAGATTAAAAATAGAAAAACAAGAGAAAAAAATGAAACCAAAAGCCAGTTTTTAAAAATATCAATAAAATTTATGAACATCTACCAAGACTGACAAGGAAAATGGGAGAAAATAGTAATTACCAATATACTGGGACTAAAGAAAGAGATTCACTGTAGATTCCACTGACATTAAATGGGTAATAAAAGAATACTATGATATGTAAGTGAGAATCTACCTGAATAAAACAAATCCTTGAATCACAAAATCACCAAAATTCACCCAAGATAAAATTGGTAATCTTAATATCCAACAGCTATTAAAGTAAATTTATGAAAGTCCTTCCAAAAATGAAATGACTAGGCCCAGATGGTTCCACTGGTAAATTCTACCAACAGTCTAAAGAAGAAAAACCAGCAGATCGTAGCATTGTCAGAAAAAGCATTTGAGAAAATCCAACACTCTTTAATGATAAAAACTCTCAGCAAGGGGTGCCCGGGTGGCTCAGTTGTTAAGCATCTGCCTTCGGCTCAGGTCATGATCCCAGTGTCCTGAGATCGAGCCCCGCATTGGGCTCCCTGCTATGCAGGAAACTAGCTTCTCCCTCTCCCACTGCCCCCGCTTGTGTTCCCTCTCTTGCTGTGTCTCTCTCTGTCAAATAAATAAATAAAATCTTAAAAAAAAAAAAAAAAACCTTTCAGCAAACTAGGAATACAGTGGACTTTTTCACCCTGAGAAAGGGCATTTATGAAAACCTACAGCAAATGTCATACTTAATGGTGACCGTCTGCTTTGGGGAACAAGGTTGAGGATGTCTGCTTTTAACAGTTTTAACAGTTTTACTCAGGTTAGTACTGGAAGACTTAACCAGTGCAGTAAGGCAAAAAAAGGGAAGAAGGGACATACAGATTAGAATGAAGAAAAAAAGCTGGTCCTATTTGCAGAGCATACCTATTTGTAGAAAATACAAATCAAAACTGCAGTGAAATATCACCTCACACCAGTCAGAATTGGCCACATAGGAAATCCCAAAGAATCTACAAACAACAAAACCCACTAGAATGTACAAAAGATACTCCTAAAACAATTAAGTTTGTAGTTATAGGATAGCAAATCAAAATACTCTTTTTCTTTCAGTCAATTAATTAATTATATTGCCATATATTAGCAATGGATAATTGGAAACCAAATTTTTAAAACAATACTATTTGATTAAAGGCCTAAATATGAGATATGAAACCATAAAAATCCTAGAGAAGAACACAGGCAATAACCTCTTTGACATTGGCCATAGCAACTTCTTTCTAGATATGTCTCCTGGGACAGGGGAAACAAAAGCAAAAATAAAGTATTGAGATTTCATCAAAATGAAAAGCTTCTATACAGCAAAGGAAACAATCAACAGAAGGCAACCTATGGATTGGGAGAAGATATTTGCAAATTGCCTATCTGGTAAAGGATTAGTATTCAAAATACATAAAAAACTTATAAAAATCAACACAAAGGATAAGCAGAAGACATGAATAGACATTTTTCTAAAGAAGACGTATAGATGGCCGATAGACACACAAAAAGATGCTCAAAACCCATCACCAGGAAAATACAAGTCAAAACTACAGTGAAATAATCACCTCACACCAGTCAGAATGGCTAAAATCAACAACACAAGAAACAAGGATGCAGAGAAAGGGGAACCCTCGTTCATTCTTGGTAGGAATGCAAGCTGGTGCAGCCACTCTGCAAAACAGTATGGAGGTTCCTCAAAAAGTTAAAAATAGAAGTACCCTATGATCCAGCAATTACACTACTAGGTATTTACCCAAAGGATACAAAAATACTGATTCAAAGGGGTATATGCACCCCGATGTTTATAGCAGCACTATCAACAATAGCCAAACTATGGAGAGAGCCCAAATGTCCATTGACTGATGATGGATAAAGAAGATGTGGTATCTCTATACAGTGGAATATTACTCAGCAATCAGAAAAATGAAATCTTGCCATTTGCAATGACATGGATGGAGTTAGAAAGTATTATACTAAGCAAAATAAGTCAGAGAAAGACAAATACCAT